AAATAACATTTTTGGCAATACATTCATCTTGATGGCAGCTATTCGGCCTAACAAGAAAGTTTTAATCTTGACCAACTATCCAAGTCTCTCTTAATTTCTGACCAACATTTTTCATAATTATCTTTAAATAAACTCAGATTTTTTGCTGTTATGTTTACCCCTAGATATTTCACTTTCTTAACCACAGTTAACTCTGTCTCCCTCTGAAACCGTTCCGACTCAGTGTCTGTCAAATTTTTCCCCAAAACCTTAGTTTTTTGTTTGTTTAGTTTAAATCCCGCCACTCGACCAAAGTTTTGAATCAGTTGTAATACTCTTTTCGTACTAGATTCCGGCTCCTGTAATGTCAGAACTAGGTCATCTGCGAACGCTTTAAGTTTATATTGCTTCGCTCCGACCTGGATCCCTTCCACCAACCGATCCCCTCTAATCATGTTCAGGAGCACTTCCAGGACCGAGATAAATAGTAGTGGGGAAATCGGGCAGCCTTGTCGTGTACCTTTTTCAATTTTGAACTCTTCTGTAACCACATTGTTAACTATCAGTTTGGCCTTTTGTTCTGAGTATATTGCCTCAATCCCATTCTCAAACCCCCGGCCCACTCCCATTTCTTTTAGGTTCCCCTTCATAAATTTCCAGGATATGTTGTCAAAGGCCTTCTCCGCGTCTATAAAGATTAGAACTGCTTTCGTATTTATGTTTGTTTGCAAAAGTTCCAGTATGTCTATAATGTTCCTTATGTTAGCAAACATATATCTACCTGGGAGAAAGCCTGCCTGGTCCTTATGAATTATTTCATTTAAAACTTTCTTGAATCTGCGTGCCAGAACATCTGCAAATATTTTGTAATCCACATTTAAAAGGGAGATGGGACGGTAGTTCTTTAATTGTGTCTTTTCAGTTTCCAACTTTGGTATTAGTGTGATGAAAGCTTCTTTCCATGATTCCGGCGCCTTCTTCCCCTCCATAATTTCATTGCTGACCTCCAACAATGGCTGTATCAGATAGTCTTTCAATGTCTTATAATAATTGGAGGTCAGCCCATCTGGCCCTGGCGATTTGCCCTGTTTCATGTTCTGGATGGCCTGCTCAATCTCTTGTCGTGTTATTTTACCATTCAGAATTGTTCTGTTTGTTTCTGACAGCTTTGCTAATCCATTTTTCTCCAGAAATTGTTTAATCTCAGTTTCATCTTGTGGCCCTTGAGTATATAGCTTTTTGAAATATCTCTGGAAACACTTTCTGATCTCTCCAGGGTTCTGGATGCTTCTTCCTTCAATCTCTAGGTTTGTTACCGTGTTTAATCTTTGTCTCTTCTTCAACTGCCAAGCTAGCAGTTTTCCACATTTATTAGCCGATTCAAAAGTTTTTTGCTTCATTATTTTAATCTTCCATTCTATTTCCTGGTTTATCAGTTTAGAGTATTGTGCTTGATAAAGTTTAATTTCTCGCAGGATCGGCTGAGACTTTGGGTTGGATCTTAACTTCTTCTCTAGCTCTTTAATTCTTTCCAAAATTTTGTCCTTCCTTTCATTTTGTGATCTTTTCTTTATGGTGTTCTGTTGTATCAGGAACCCTCTCATCACGGCTTTACTTGCGTCCCAGATAGTTCTTTTTTCCACCGTAGTGTTCATGTTAATCTCAAAATAGTCCTTTAAAGTTTTTTGGGCCTTCTTAATAATCTCTTGATCTCTAAACAGGCCATCGGGAGAGGGAACTTTGCCCTGGGACAGAAAATGACCAGATAGGGCCTGAATAGCAGTGGGAGACGAGTGGGTGCTACTGTGCAAAATTTACTACAAAGCTCATTGCATCTACTCACTTAAATAAATTTCATAGCAATATTATTAAATCGCGATTCCATGGAACAAATTGAAATGCATCAGTTAATTTTAAAGTTGCCTTTCTCGTACGTTTAATCCTGAAAACTAATAGCCGTTCAAAGTTATTTTTAGAATGCCAGTTACCATGGTGAAAGCAAATTCTCTTACTGCTCTTTCTGCCAGTTGCTTAAATGGCTAATGCTGTATGCCTCAGACATACATTCCAATTATGCTTTTTAGTAATTTTATCATAGTCATTTTATGGTTGGGATTTTGAAGACATTTTACAAATCACGCAGTTGGCTCTACTATATTAATGCATGGTTTGTGTCAATTTGGAAAACTTAAAACGATTTAAAAATTGTGTTTTGTGTCTAATATACATCGTCTTTCTGAGGAAAATGTACATCCACCTTTGAAATAAGATGTAAAACTGGAATTGTAGGTTTGAATAATTGCCGGAAATCCTTCCAGCCCAATGTCATGCATTTTTACTCAAATATAAAGCAACTTTATTTAGTAGGACTTCCTATCTAGTAAGTAAGAATGCATAGGACTCCAGCCTTCTCTTAAAACATTTGAGAACAGTCAAAACTAGCAAAGTAGTGGAGAATATGATGCAGAAGCAAGAGTACATTTGGGGGTTAGATGAGTCTTGCCAATTGGCTAGTTTCAGCCAATCAGATGCAGGCATGGCTTATGTCACCTGGCCAACCAGATGTTGGCTCTCCAGTCTATGTAAGAGCTCCATATTATCCCATTCAAAGCTGGGACATTGCACAAAAGAGGGGGAAACTTTGCTGAACTTCAATGCTTTCTGCACTTGCACTGACACTTGAAATGTCAAGAAAATCTCTCGGGCTAAAGTATAGATGTAAGCATGCTTAAACCTATTAAAAAAAACCAATGCTCAACTCTGCAAAGTGTACATCACATGTTAAGTATGAGACAGGGATGTGCATCAGTTCTGTGTACTTCCAGGGTGCAAATGTACATGTCTATAGGGGTGTGGGCTTTGACAGGGACCAAGTGATGCCCACCCCTCCCCTTGCCCAGCCTGCCAATTTAACCTCCCTACCAAGTCTTGTGTTTTTGCATACAAATAGCAGTTTATTCAAGCAATGTGATATTGTCATATGTGCCTGTGCTTGCCAATGTCCTGGATGGTCTTATGGTACCCAAGTAATGCCGCAGGTTGTGCTGGTGCAGAAGTCCTTCCATCTAATCCTATGGACCTATTTGCCAGTGCAGTAGCTGGTACAATCAGGCTGCAAATGTCTTGCAATTGTTATTCATAGGAACCAAAGAACAAAGGAGTCAAATTTTGTAAAATAAATCATACTTTGGCACATTTGACTAGGTTTAGCCAGCCAGTTAGGTACCTAATGGCATGAAAAAATGTAATTGCACACTTAAATGTATGTTAATTCCCAAGCTCTCTACCTTGCTTGAGCGCCCTTATGGATGAGCGCAATTATTTCGATACTGTTCAACAGCGCCTGTTAGTGAGCTTAGCATCTTTTGCGTACATGGTTAGCCATACAAATGCTACTATTGTATATATATATTTGTGCCCATTCAGCTGGGCCATTTGTTGATGTTGTTTGGAGAAACATTTGAAGATTTATTCAGCTAGTTCCATTTGGGTACATTTTGAACAATACAATTTATTTCATGGATTCCATTCAAGCAAGCACATCTGAGGTCAACTAATTCTCATGGACAACTGCATAGTAAAATATGGTTGGCCAAGGCATGGAATCAAACATAAGATACCTGAAACAAACAGCATGGGATATCCATAAATACTTGATTGGAATAGAACTATGCATATGGACAATATTAGGGGGAAAACATGTCTGCCCTTTAATATGTGCATATCTGTTATTTCAGCCTTTATGGGTTGTTTCCAAATAAACCATATGCAGAGTATCCTACTCTTATAATTTAAAACCCAGGTAGGAGTGGGGGGAAAGTAGGAATTATTTAATTGCTGTTGCTGCTTCTTTGGCAATCACTCGTAGCCGAATAAGATTGTTTTCCATGAACACGGTCTTAACAGTGAGTCCATAAATGACTGTGGAGGCCAATTCTGGATCCATACGTCCTTCCACAGTGGAGACATAGGTTTCTGGGTGGCAGCTGACCACAGGGAGGATTTGGCAAATGTGCCTTCCTCTTAGCTTATTCCTCCTTTTCACCCTGAGTTTGTGCTTCTTCAAAGTCCATGACACCTTTGGTAAAGGCTCTTATCCAGTTGGAGTGCTCACAGGCCAGTGTGTCCCAGTTATCAGTGCTTATGTTGCATATTTTTAGATTTGCCTCGAGAGCATCTTTAAACCTCTTTTGTTGTCCACCGATATTTTGCTTCCCATCCTTGAGTTGGAAATAGAATACTTGCTTTGGTAGATGATAATCAGGCACCCGAACAACATGACCAGTCCAACAAAGTTGATGTTGAAGAATTGTTGCTTAGACTGGTGATCTTTGCTTCTTTCAGTACACTGAAATTAGTTTGCCTGTCTTCCCAAGTGATGTGTAAAATTTTCCGGAGACACCGTTGATGAAATCTTTCAAGGAGCTAGAGAAAGAAGCAATGGTACCAAAAATTCATATATTTGTTGTTGGAGCCAAATAGCTTTATGCTGTAATGGTTTAGGTTATGGGGGAACAATGCAAACCAAATATTGACTTTGTTTTCTCCCCACTTCTCCAAGATAATACAAAAGAGCTATTTCATATGCCTGTGTGAGTAAAATTGATACCTATTGGCTAGTATCTACGCCATCATGCAACATCATGCTACGCCTGGCATGCAACATTCTCACTGGAAAATAGTTTGCATCTTTTAATAAGTAATAAGGTGCTATGCACCCTAAACTTGGTGCCAGAGACTGCAAGGGTAATTTCAAATGCCACCCCACGAAACCAGTTCAGGGTGCATAGCACCTCTGGTACACAGCCTAATGCTACAGCTGCTCTTGGTGCTTTCTGGGTTGTTGTTGTTGTTCCTGTTGCATCTGGTTGTAACAGTCATGTTTGGAGATGCAGCTCTTCTACCATAAAGTGCATTAGACAGAGATGTGAGTTTGAGTCAAGCTGACGGATAAATATACCCCCCAACCCCTCTGCTCACTAGGGATTACTTATTACATTATAATTGCATTTTATCAGCTTTGCCTCCTGTATCTTGTCTGGTTATGTGTAGAAACACAAAAGCATCAACGTGCTATGAAGAGATGCATCATCTTTTATTCTTGTGCTTCTCTTGCACAGAGGCTGAAAGAGCTAAAACAAAGGGAATTTGCACGGAACGTGGCTTCAAAATCCTGGAAAGATGAGAAGAAACAGGAAAAAGCACTCAAGCGACTCCATCAGCTGGCTGAGCTGCGGAAGCAGTCAGAATGGTAAGCATCTGGAACTTGTATTACATTTTAATCTCATATCCACCCCCCTAGAAGTCCCAGAAGAAATCTCGGTAACTTTACTCCTGCTTTATATAATGCACAGATAATCATCACATGCCCTGCAAGCCCTTTTTAAATTATCAGTGATGCCAAAACATCCTTGCCATAAAATTGGAATCCCTGCATTAATTCCTTGGCATTTGAAGGCTGGGGTTTTTATCCTCTTTCTAATCTGATCAGAACAGACATATTTTTTATTAAAAAAATAGTGCTGTGCTGAGTTTTCAAGAGCAAACATTTTCAGTCCAAAACCATAAGATTTGGAGAAAATTATCCCCTCCTCAGAAAAAAACAAACAAACCTGTTTTCCCCCATGCTTTTCATACTTGTAGCCTCTCCCAACAGCTGCTTTGGCACCATTATTGTTTAGTGGGGGGGGGGGAGATTTTCCTTGCTGTGTGAGCCAAACTAATCAGAGATCATCTCACTGGTGTAATGATGTCACAGCATCACAAAACCCATAAGAACTGGTGATGTGGTGATATCACAGAGAGCAAGAGAAACACTTGCATTGCCATCACTGTAAATGGAATGAGAAGGAACCTGACAGACCACTACATTGTCTCCTTGTCTTACCGCACAGTAATAGCAGGTTCACTGCCCACCAGCACAGTTCAGTAAGACCAGAAGCATCATTCTGAATGCTTCTGGAATGGGATGATACACCCCCTCTTGCCCCTTCTCCTCTATGGTCACTTACACATCCTCTGAAGATTGAAAGGGTTCAAGTAATGTTGGAGGAGGAAAAGAAAAGTGCATGAAACTGGCCTCCTGTTTCTCTCAGATCTGATATTTAATATTTCACCAACAGAGCATTTCACCTTATTAAAACAGATCTGAGTTTAATGCTCTTAGCAATTTGTAAAAATTGCTAGGAAAAGGGGGGAAATAAGCCCCAAATCTTTATTTGCTTAGTCTAGAAATCCTTATTTTCATTTCTCTGCACATATACAAACTCTCCAAATAGTTCCTTCCAGGGAACTAAAATAGCATCCTTACTGTGAAAGAAACACAGAAATGGAGAGGATTCCAGTAGGTAATTTATACTGTATCACTCAGTTACTTATACCGAGTCAGTCTGTTGGTCTATCTTGCATAACCTGCTCTGGCAGCGACTCTCCATCACCTTTTCTTTCCCTGCCGCATGAAATCTTTCACCTGGAGATGACTGAAGCCGAGAACTCTTTCATCCCAAGCATGTGCTCTGCAGACTGCTAAACTAGTAAGTACAGGTACTGTACAGTACAGTGTACAATACGTAGTCCAAAAGCTTCTTGAAGACACAGCAGGGCAAAATTACTAAGGGCACTTCACCTACCATACCACTGTGGTCAGCCTGCCACAGTGTGCAGTATTCAGGCTGTGTCTAAGTAGTTCTATTCACAGTAGAGCCATTGAAATCAATGAATCTAGGTTAGTCATGTCTATTCTAGAGCTGGGCAATACTCCAATTTCTTGCCTTGAAACCGAAATGGTGTTCACATCGCAATAGTGGTTTCAGACTTTTTGAGCTGACAATACATCGTGGCTCCACAGCTGCCATGATGTATTGGCAGCTCAGATTGCCTCCCCCTGAACAGGTGAGTTGTGTTTTTCCTCTTGGGGCAGTGGGTTGCTCCAGGAGGAAAGACGCAGCCCACCTGCTTGGGCAAAGGCAGGCAGATGCCTTGGATGGAACCCCATACTTCTCAGTGAAAATGACTACTTTCTGAAATCTAACATTCATTTGCAAATCAAGTGATTTTATTATGTCATTTATTTCCAGCATTGCTGAATGCAGACCTGCGTTTAAATCTCCCCAAGTGGTTGTAGAAAAAGAGCCGACGCCGCAAGATAAACTTCTGTTAGCTCAAGAAGGCAAAGTCAAGAATGCAGCTGAAGGAAAATGCATCACCAGCAGCACTTCAGAGAAGCAGCAGGAACTTTTGCTAAGCAAGAACCAGTCTTGCATAGAGACACACCATTTTCTTAGAAGCCACATCTCTCCCGCATTCTCCTGTGGCACCAATGGCTGCAATCGGGCCGGGGTGTCCTTTTCATTCTCTAAAAAAGTCCACCTGAAGCTTGAGTCATCAGCATCCGTTTTCAGTGAGAACATGGAAGATGCATATGACTGCATCAGATCCCCTCGGCATAAAGCAAAGCAGACTTCCGAAGAGTGCCGTGCGTGTATACATATGAGGGACGAGAGGAAAGCAAATGTGCATAAACGGTTAGGCACCATTCAAAGTCACCCAGACAGCTTCGCCTCCTGTAATCTGGCTCGGAAAAATCAACTGCAGAAAGAAAACAATCAGTACAAGGACAGAGAGCAAACAGAAACTCATACTTCATTTCGTAAAGACAAACTACATCTTCAAGATTTGGATTGTTCTGGGTCTCCTGGTGCAAAAGAACAAGGAGGAGAGTTGAACGAGACCCAGAAATCCTTGGAAAACGTTGTTACACCTCAATGCCAAACGAATAACATTTGTATGCAGCAAAACACTTACAAGCACAGTGATGGCCTGTTACCAGAATGTGTCTCTGAGTCCTTAGCCCAACGATCATCTGAGCAAGGACATCAGTGTGAGGGAAACTACAATCCCTGTGTATTCAAACAATCTTCTGATTGTACAGAAGCTGTCAATGCAGATGCTGAAATGCCTAGGGATAATGCACTGGTTCATGAAATTAAGCCTAAAGCATTGCCTTTTCTTCATGTACTGAGCAAAGATGGCAGGACAGCCTTACGGTGGCCCACAGAACTTCTTTTGTTTACAAAAACAGAACCCTCCATTTCCTATGGTTGTAATCCATTGTATTTTGATTTTCGGCTCTCCTTATCTCATAGAGAAAGTGGGCATCATGACGTTGACGAAGAAAGTCCTAATGAGCACTCAACAAGAACTATGGACATAGATGGAAATGACGCCTCAGATCTAACTGAGAACAAGCAACTGTCCAGTGAAAAAGATAATCAGTCTTTGAAGCCAAAGAAGAAGAAAAGAGCTCTAAGCCTCAAAAAGTCCTGGCCAAAATTGGATTCAGACACAGAGAATGAAATGAGTCAAAGTGCTCCAAAGTACGTCTCAGATGATTTGAATGAAAACCTACCTGAAGTGCCTGCACCCCTTGATTGCTCAAAAAGGCGTTACACGAGAGCAACAAGTCCACACACAACAATGCATGTGAGATCTTTAGCACAGCAGTTGCAGAACTGTGAGGAGGAAGTAACTGAAAACCTTTGCATTTATCCCTTGGTGTCTAGGACAAAGAAGCAAAAATGTGCAAAATGTGATTTAATGTATGCCCAAAGACAAACCGACCTGGATTTGGTCACCTGCAGCAGTGACATAAGTGACAGCGGGAAAGATTCCATTCTCGGATACAAGTTAGATTCACCCAGGGAGTCCATGGGAAACGAAGGCAATGGGAATTTTGCTGGTTGCTGGAAATTCACTCCTTTGCAAAAGCCCTTTTCTGACAGACAGTCTAATTATTCTGACACTTCTGTTAGCAGTGCAACTAGTTACGCTAGTTGCTACTCTAGTCACAGATCAAGTGATCACAGCAGAAGTCATTTGCCTTTTTGCTGCAAAAGGAAACAAAAGCCGGTTGAAAGGCAGAAATGTAAACACAAAAAGCACAATTGCATTTCATCTTCTGATGATGCAGATGGGGGCTGCCTTTTCAACAAAACAAGTCAAAGATCTAGAAACTGTGCACACAGGCATATGGCAAAAAATCAAAGACATTCGAGATATAGACATTTACTACAAAGAGATGTATCAAAGCAAAGCAGGAATAGACACCCTCTTTGTAAACACAGCAGGAGCAGGAGCTACAGCAGCTCCAAAGGTTCTTCCACCCAAGATTCAGGAAGCAGCGAAAGATCATCAAGCTGCACCAGATCAAGAGCCAGCAGTTCGGGATCCCTTGCAAAAGAATTGGTGCTTGACTGGAACAAACACAAAAAGGATATGAAAAGCACCGACAGAGCTGAACCAGGAAAATCAGACTCTGCACACTCAGACTGCCAGAATGAAAGTTGTCCATCAAAACAAGTTGGAAGCTGCTCCATCAACCACTTAGGAAGGAAAGCAGTGGGGAAGAAGTCGTTAACGGCCAAACTCCTTTTAGAGAGGGTGAAATCAAAGCGAAACCAGGAGCAAACTCAGAACACTGAAAGCTTTTCAAATACCTGCGAGAAAGATCTCCCCCATAGTCAACCAGGTGTTAAAGGTGCATCATCAGTGGATAGTGAAGCAATGTTACCTTTGCTTGAGAAAGCCCTTCACATTGATACGAGCAGCAGGTGGAACAATGGAACTGGCTCTGTGGAAAGCAGCACAGGCACAGAGCGAGCCGAAGCTTCAGCGATAGATAATATTATTCTGACAGCTAGCACTAACTATGGCAATAGCCTGCTTAACGACTTAGGTTATCAGGCCCTGAATAGGGCACAGGACACTGCAACGAAGCATCAACCCCTACTACAAAGCTGTGACTCGGTGCCAAATGGTTTTCCTGGTGCTTTTCCTTCTCATGGATATTCTGCTGTTCCCAACCTAACAGAGACCAAAGAAGAACACCATGCAGGTGTAGACTTGAGTGGAGTGGAAGGGGATCTGAACTGCTACTCTGACAGTGCTATGCATAAATCCGGTGAAACAGAAAACAAGACTGAGCCGTACAGTAAGTGCATCCCCTCTCCTTTAACGCAGCAGCCTATAACCTTTTCCCCGGATGAGATAGACAAATATAGGTTTCTTCAGCTGCAGGCCCAGCAGCATATGCAGAAACAGCTTGTGGCAAAGCATCGCAAGGTTGTGCCTGCCCCGGGACCAGCTGCCTTCTCTGCCTCCCCAGCTGTCCCTGTTCAGCAGCACTCGTCTGTTGCCACCCTCCGCCACACGCTGCTGCAGAGCTTTGCCCTGTCCACCGGAGTACATCCTCACAGCAGCCATCTTTCCCTGACTCATATACATCCATTCTCACCATCGCCTTTTGCTCCATTCTCACTCTCGCCCTTTACTCCGGCCTTCATGCCCGCGCACTCGGCGCTCCTGGCGGGACACCCGTTTCATTTCGTATCGGCGACTCCCATCCACCCATCCCATCTGGCAATCCCGCCGCTGCCCCACGCAGCCTTTATTCCTACCCTGTTCACGCCCCAGCTGAACGCAGCTGCATCTTCTGCCGTACATCTCAACCCCTTGATCCATCCATTATTCCAGACTCAAGAACTTCAGCATCGTTCCTGACCTTGTCGGATGTGTTGGTTATCTGGAACGGAAATGAAGAAGGTGTCATTTTCCCTTTTAAAATTGCAAAGTCATTGTCCTACGCTCCAAAAGCAATTTAGAATGACAATTCCCATTCAGCAGCCTAATTGCATATCTTATGAGAGACATTGCGGACATCAAGGTCTGGCTGACGCAGCACATGATTGTTAATTTGATTTTCACATTCCTTACAATAATAGCCTTCCCAAACCTGTTGCCCTCCAGATATTATCGGACTACTGCTCCCATCATCCTGACCATTGGCCACACTGGCTGGGGCTGATGGGAGCTGTAGTCCAAAACACCTGGAAGGCATCAAGTTGGCAGAGGCTGTCTACAGCTTTCGTACAGCCTTTTATGCTATAATAGGCTTGTGGACATTTTAATCGTTTTCACAAGAAACATAAGTTAGAAGTACAGGCATCCACCCACGTACATTCCAGGCCCCCATGCACATAACCAAAATCACATAAAGTGGGGATGATCCTCTAAAAAGCCTCAAAAAACATTTTTTCCCCTGCTGTCCCATTTCTCTTTTCCCCAAAATATCCGGAGTTGTAGCTCTGGAGCCAGCTTGAGGATGTGCGGGAAAGGTTCACAGGCACTTCCCCCCAGGTTGAGAAGCCCTTTTCCTCCAGACAAACACATCTGTCAAACCCTCACATGGTACACAGGCATTCACAGATGGGGACAAAAAATGGTCAGTTCACCACAGAAAAGGTTTCCCCTATCTGAAATGTTGTGGAACTTGGCTTTCTAACAACATAATACGACACCTGTTTTGTCAGTTTCAGAAGCATTCAAATGACAAGTGGAAAGGATTGTCATGATCTCTGTTTGTAAGAACTCCCTCCCCCCGCCCCCAAGCACTGGAAGATGCAGCCATTCCAAATAGCCACTAAAGTACAGCAAATTGTAAGTTCTGACCCGCATCTTATTTCCTTGAAACTCAATTCCATTCAAACGTTGAGATGTTTTCTAAGTAAAACAATTCATTTCAGGATGCAAATTTTAAGATATGTGTTAATCAGACAGTGAGGTACTTACCCCAGTAAGTAAAGTAGGAGGAAGGGATTTATTTATGGACTTTTGTCAAACCATAAAGTATATTTCATGAACACCCGCTGATGTGATCCACACAGAACTGTCTGAGCCTGCAGCAAGACAGTTCAGAAAGAAGACATTAAAAACAGATGTGGAGGCGCCCTAAGACAGAATCAGCACTAAATGAGGGTTGGGTTAGCCTTTTGCCTGCACCATTTTCCCTACTGAAGTTGTCTTCCGAAGTTGCTATTTTCCAGCTTAAAGGTGGGCAATTTAAATCAGGAAAATGTTGGAAGGAAGGGTTTTTCCTCTCTCTCCCCCTAATGTCTAGATCCTGATCCAATTGCCCACTCCACTGGCCTTTAACATTAAGTAAAAGTGAGATATTCTGATCATGGATTTCCTACATTGCCCCAAGCTCATCCCTTAGAAGGATTCAACATGCATTCAGCTTCCAGATCAACTTGCATTCTACAAAAGTAAAAAAAAAAACCCAGCTGCATCTTCCACCAGTTACAAGATGGAATTCCAATTCAGTCTCACCTAGGGTTAGTTTTAAAAGTTCACTCTGTACAGGAGAGGGACAAAAGTGATCAGGCAAGACCAACCAACCAGATGTAACTGTTTCCCTGTTACGAAAGCCTCTCTGTAAAACACTGAACATGTCTGTTTGTTATGCAGCTTTGCAAAAAAAGCAAACAAATAAATATGCCACTTGATTCATTTTTCAAAGTGTTTAGTTTATATTGAAACTAAATAATACTCTGGCTAGTATAACCTGTAAACTAGTTATTTTGTTTTGTATTCTCTGTAAAAAAAAAAGTGTTTTATATTATACAGTAGATAAGTGAATTGCACTATTGAACATGCAATGCAGCTTTTTTTTTCTTCCTTTCATTATTCAAGTTGTTCCTGGGAATGTAGTTTCATGCAATAATTTTTTTCAATAAAAATGCTTAATGACATAAGGAGCCTCAGTCATGCATTTTTAAATATCATACCAAAAGACAGCAGCAAAGTAAGATTCAGATGAGACAAACATACTCTGTATTTCAATCTACAGAACTGAAATGGGTTTAATTTAGACAAGAAGCTGTAATGCTGAATTATTTTAGGCTATTTCTTTAAGAAATTTTTTTAAGCATGTGTTACTAGAGTTGATTCAATGGCTCTATAAATAAATATTACTTTTTTATTTAAAAAATCACCACTGATGTGTTTTTTACAACCATTTTAATGGCTTTATTAAATAGTTTATGTATTCATTTAATATTAAATTTAATTGATAACACACAGGGTTTTTTTCCTTCAACATTTGAACTAAAGCAGATGTAATCATTATACGTCACAAGCCAGTTCTACCAACAATGCTTCTTGTGTGCTTTTATATATTATATCCTTCTTGCATGAAATAAATACTAAATTATCCTACCACAAATTCCCGTGAAAAACTTACTTCTGTATTAATTATCAGAAAAGCATCAGAGAGGACTACCAACTGCTTGAATGCCTTCCCTCCAACCTTCCTCAGATACAGACATTTCTCACTCCTGCCCCAAAGTCACCCTCCTTGACACCCCATCCCCCCCAAGCAGAGCATTTCCTTTGAGAAAGGCAAGTGGCACACACACCATCCACCATCCTGAAAAAAAACCTTAATCCTGTTTTAATTTCATTTTATTCTTTGGTGGATTTACAAAAAGAAAGCACACACCAATAAACAAATAGAAAGAGGCAAGATTAGACACGGACACACAAAGCAGTTTTAAAAAACAAGACTCCTTGCTCTCTGCTTTGCCTGCCCCTCAGAGCCAGCGCATCACATGGGGTAAACCTTGGCGGGAGCAGCCTTTCCTCCTCCTTGCCACTATGAGCTGCTCGAGGGAGGAGGCCAGCAGCAGTGGCCATGGAGGGGCAATGGGATGCTCCTTTGCCACTATCACTGCTCAGAACAAGCGCTGACTCATCCTCCTCTCTGAGCTCAGAGGCAGCAGCACCAGCAGGGGGAAAAGAGGTCAAATCGGAAGCTGGATGGCTTTCGTAATTCTGGGACTGTCCCTGGAAAACTGGGACACTTGGTGGGTACGCTTGAAAGTTTAGGAGACCCAATCCTGCAAAGACTTTTGTGCTTGCTCTCTTTGGCACCTGATTGCATGCAATAAGTTTAGTTTTAAAGCACGAGTGGGGAACTTCAGGCCTGGTAGCAGGATTTGGCCTTCCAGGCCTTTCTATCTGAGCCTTGGAACTCCCCATAGGCCATATTCCCTCTGCAGCCACAGCCTTCACTGGCCTTGCTACACATCCACCTTGAGTGCTTTTGCAAAACCTTTCCAGATCAGAGGCTGTGTCTTCCATCATCACTTTATCCTCAGCCACTGCTAGTTTCTTTAGGTCCTAAACAATCCAGTAGTGGCTGAGGATAAGGTTGCCTGGGGGGGGGGGGTACAGCGGTACCTCTGGTTACGAACGTAATTCATTCCAGAGGTCCATTCTTAACCTGAAACTGTTCTTAACTTGAGGTACCACTTTAGCTAATGGGGCCTCCCGCTGCCACCGTGCAATTTCTGTTCTCATCCTGAGGTAAAAGTTCTTAACCCGAGTTACTACTTCTGGGTTATGGAATCTGTAACCCAAAGTGTTTGTAACCTGAGGTACCACTGTAATTTACACCTCTGTGTCTTAAAACTACTTTTAGCTGCTTATGAACAAACACTGGGATTGCATCTGCCTTGCATACCCTACCACCTGACAAATCACACCATAACGATACTATGACTAAGATGTAAACCCCTCAGATCAGAGACCAAGATGCAGTGTCTGGCAGTCCTTCAGTTTATCTGTGCCTCCATTTCTGTGTGCACATCTAAAACTAGATGACATGTTAAATCAATATTTCATTCCCCAAAACCTCTAAACCTTTCAGAGCAAATGCATTTGCCATTTGCAATATAATAAATTATATTTGCTTATTAATTTTTTATTAATGAAAACAGTTCCATACATAGTAAGTGATATGTGTGAATCAATGATGCCCATAAGGAAATAAGTATGGGCAAACCAATTCACTGAATACCAGCTGAGTCTATTTCCCTCAAATAAAATCAACTATGTCCTAAAGTTGTCAAACCGTTCACTGGAATATTGTGGTTTCCAGACTCATCCTGTGCTAGGACATGCTGAAGTCCACTGAAATTAAAGGTATTATGAATGCCTAACTTCACTTATGTAAAGTTGCTGCACCTTGCTGCATTTGGTGTTATTCTGAAAGCCTTTTGAGAGCTAAAATCTGAAGAAGAAATGTAGTTGAAAAGCACATCCCTCCTAAAGACTTCCTTTTTCTATCGGCCTGGAATCACCCTACTGGATCTGACTTCTGTAATTTTGAAAAACAGCTGGGCATTTTTTTTAAGGCTCTATTTGATGGCCCTCCTTGTGCAGAACTCATATGGCAACAACACCTGGAACTACTGGAAAAATTGACATCTCCCATCTCAATTTGTTCTTGCATTTCTGAATAAACCAAGTGGCTACTGCCACAAGCCATTTAACTTGTGATCTGTGTGCTGATACTATATAGGATGAACTGTCAGAACAACTGTTTGGAATATCTTCCCTGGCACTGAAGTATTCTAAAACTGACTCTGCCATGGGGCACTCCTGTATAAGAAGGACTATCAGTGCCAGATTTATGTATAAGCTAAACAAGCTATAGCTTAGGCCCCCCACTCTCTTGGGGGCCCCAAAAAATGTAAAGGGAAAGAAAACTGGATGTACATTTCTAAAATATAAGATAAAAAACAAAAGACAACCTACATACAGTTAGAGCTTAATAATTATTTCACTATTAATATGCTTCTTCTTAATTGTATTTCACTATTAATATACTACTTAACTGTATTTCAGTTCAACAATTACTTTGATAACATACATATTTTGTTATGTGCAAATGGCTTTAGATACCTATTAGGTTCAGAAATTACCATATTGCATATATTCAGTACAAAAAAACAGAAACAATTTGTTGTTGACAAAGGACAGCTGGACATATAAAGGGCCCCATTACCTTCAGTAGCTTAGGGCCTCATCAAACCTAAATCCGGCCCTGGGGACTATGAAACACTTCCTGTTTGGGCAGAGACATTGCCTGAGCAACATGCTGCCTGGCTTGGGAAAGTTTCCATTCTTAGTCTCTGGCTTTTGACAATAGGGTAGGGGGCGATCCAGGGGCGTTTACAGCTGTCCAGCTCTCCATAAACTGGGCAAGGCAAAGCGGGCGGGGGCTGGAGCCTTGGGGGCTGCCCGCTTCCCTTCCCCGGGGTGGTCCATTCTCTTGCATTCCCTGCTGTTGCTTTGGATCGTACCACCTGACCTTACTATGCTACTGGGAGTGAGGGCTTGGGGATGCTGACCCAAAGTCAGCTGCAATTTGGGGCAGCAGTGGGGAGTGTGGGAGGGAGGCTGCTGGGTCACTCCCAGCTCTGGTGGCTGTGATCCCGGGACCTCCAGGGGACAGGCTGTGCTTCGCACCAGGCGCTTTGTCACCCCCCTCTGTGATGGCACACTAAGCGGCCTACGCCCACCGCACCCACCCTGCTCTGCCCCTGCTTACTCCACCTTTGGGTACACTGCCTGCCAGACAATAACATGAACCACAATTAACCACAATTAACAGGCATTTGCCTCTTCCGACTTACCTACTTAATCCCTCATGCCGCACCTCGTCCGACGTCTCTTGTTTTCATTGTTCTGTATGGAAATTAAAAGATATAAATGTAAGAATCTTATTATGTTCTGGGTTCTCCTTCATCGCCTGTTTGTTACGTGAGGGGGAACCCTGTGGCCAACCATCTTTATTTTGTAATAAAGATCAGGCTTATAGCCACTTTGCTTTTCATCAAACAAACAAACAAACAAACAAACAAACAAACAAACAAACACTGACTGGTCCTGCTAGCAAAAGCCCACACAATGATTGCTACTAGGCAGGCATGGCCAAAATTGGCCCTCTAGCTGTTTTGGGACTACAGTTCCCATCATCCCTGACCACTGATCCTGTTAGCTAGGGATGGTGGGAGTTGTAGTCCCAAAACAGCTGGAGGGCCAAGTTTGGCCATGCCTGTATGAGGCTTCCCTCCCTTCTCCTAGCCCCTCCTCCATTGGCTGGAGGGGGGTCAGGAGTCCTATAAGAGCAGCATGCAGTGGGGAGTGAATGGGAGATAGCGCATACATTTCTGCTTGCCCTGTGAAACTCTCAGAACATTTGTAACAACACAATGCTGTATTCCTTCCTCTGTGACTTTCACCATCACTATACAGAGAAGTACTAGAGCCAAACATAACTGGGTCTCCTGAAAGATGCATCAAGTGATGAACTCCAATGGCACCAAGATTTTCTAAAAGGTACAGATCCATATGCTGGATCTATGTGGGGAATATGGATCTGACCACATGATATGGAAATACATGCTTGATGGTGTCAGGAAGGGAGAACCCAGCATTCTTCCGAACGCTGCGGCAGATTTGGTTTATATAACTTGCACTGCTCTGAGATTTGTCATGGAAGAATGTCTAGCTTATATAAACAATGACTAGCTAGATAGAAATTATTCATGGGGAAAACCAAATTTCTCTAACTCTCCCTTCACTTTCCTTCTTGATCTATGAGTAAGCAGGACAGAATTGCCAAATGTAACTGTCACATCTGGCTGCTTGTCTCATTGCTTTGAATCATACTCCTCTCCAGCAGCTCTAAAGGCACAGGAGTTACTGGTGTATTGGTATATTAACTCAGGAATAAGCTGCACAGGAACACATGTCAGGGAATCAGCTCAGGCTGCATTTTCACATCCAAGAAAACGGCTTATGCAAGTGAGATGGTACTTGAGGAGTCTGAGCTTAAAGCCAGGCTATATTATTCATGAAAGCCTGTCCATTTTGTAAGTCACCACACAACAGAAATCAGCAG